CGCTATCACCCAAGTGACCGACACTGACCTCCTGATCCATTTTATGGCCTCTTTTGACCACCATAGATAGCTGATGACCCACATATTAACCCAAGTCCCCAAAGGGTTGAAATGACCATTCGCCCATAGAGCTGTTTCAACACCTTTTATATGAATCTATTACATCGACAAGGCAGATTGAATTACATTTTGCTTGTAACTACTTGTGAAAAAAAGATGCATTTAAATACTGACCTTATGTCTGAACAAGAATATTTACAGAAGTAAGTGCGTATGTTTACTATTCCACTTGCCTTTGTCATTGTTAAAATAACGAATAATTATTTAGTTAACCGACATTTTCAAGTGCTTCATCTCTTATCTGACTTAGCGGCATAACTGCACGCTGGTGACTGCATTTGTTCGGCGTTCGGTTGCGTTCCTGTTGCGATATTCTTAAGTCATATATTTCAGGTGATGAAATGGATTCGTGTGTCGTCGCAAGTGCTTGTTAAACCGTTGGGGAATTTAAGGATTCATTGTTTTGTGCGGTGGGGTAGCCTAGTGGTTAAAGCGTCCTCTCGTCACGCTGAAGGCCCGAGTTCGATTCATTCCCCACATGGGTACACTGTGTGAAGCCCATTTCTGGTGTCCCCGCCGTGATATTGCTGGAATATTGCTAAAAGCGGCGTAAAACTAAACTCACTCACTAACTTATTTGTGTGAGGATATCACTCACACACACACCTATCCACTCATTCACCAAACCACCTACAAGCTGTCTCACTCTCTTAATCTACCACACTGCCACACCCTCAATCACTCACCAATAAACCACTTCTCTCATTTATGTAAGATACATCAGCTTCACATCAAATAACACCCGCGAAGACCCGGACTGGAACTCGTCCTCACCAACCCTGCTTGTTGTCAGAGGCGAAAACGTTATTCTCCAACTTGCCTTATATGTAAAACATGCTTTATCTTTAAGAAATGAACTGTTAAGCATGGATTGACTTTATTCCTTTCATCCTTGTATTTTTGTGTGTATTTATATATGTATATCATGTATTCTCCTTGTATTTTTGTGTGTATTTATATATGTATATCATGTACTCTCCTTGTATGATTGTGTGTATCTATATATGTATATCATGTACTCTCCTTTTGTGTGGGCCGGAGGCCTTAAATACAATAAACACTTTGACTTTTACTTTGACTAACAGGATAGGGACGTCTGACACGTGTCATCGTATCCCAGCTGCCTATACGTTGGTCGATGCTAATGAAGTCAATCAGTGGATTGTCTGGTCTATTTTCGATTATATGCAGACCGGCTTCACATAGCTGCAATATTGCTGAACTCACTGAAGTAAACAACAAACAAACATTAAAGGGCGACTTAAGGGCGATAATTTTCATTCCTTGTACATCAAAATCCATATAATACAAATACTTTAAACAATATCGTGTGGATGATGGAATTCGATATGTTTTCAAAAAGGAGATTCGTTATAAATACGATTTGTTTTTCATTTCATTCTTTGTCGTATCTGACGCACAAAAATAACTCTCTCGATATTGATATGATTCAAGTCCACACAAACCGTCCTTGTCTTCACCCAAGGCCGTCATCAACATGTGCGAGGAGACAATTACACAAATACAACATTCCAATTTGCATATGACGGCGGATGTCTAATTAATCATCAATGTCGACCTTTCCTCCTATCTCAGAGAGCCTTATCCATCATCCGGGTGAGCACTCTCTTTCATCAAAGCCCTACGTTTCAAAGTTAGCACTTTGTTGCTGTGGACTAATGATTTATTAGTCGTTTCTTTGCCATTGATTCCTTCAGAATCAGCCAATAAAGCTAGATTTAGATTATCTTTACGTTTCCGTTATTCGTCGGCTAGAATTCAAAGGAGTATCGAATACTTCCTGCCTTGATGTCACGTTGACAGTATTCAACTGCTCTTTTTCTGGAACATTAAGACGCAAAGCTATTCAAGATGTTTACAACCTTTTTACAAACCCGCTTGTTGTGGGTTCGAATCTCAGTTTCAGTGAGACGAATGTTAAATTTCTTAGGTTTTGTCGCTTATATTTTTACATTGATCTGACGGAAATAGTAACTGTTGATTATAGTCTTGCTGTATATGTGTGAGGGATGGTCCACCCCACGAGTGACCTGCCCAACCTAGGGTCGGTGGGGTAGCCCAGTGGTTAAAGCGTTCGCTCGTCACACCGAAGTCCCGAGTTCGATTAGCCACATGGATTGAATGTGTGACACAATCTAGCAGGCTCTTTCTACATGCAGAAGAGTGTCTTATTTCTCTTGCTGAAACGATGCTTGATCAGGGTTACTTCTTTCAAAGCCTAAAGCTTTTTAAACAGTTTTAGACGGGTATATGTGTGATGAATCAGTGACGAAAATTGTGTCACATGCAATTCTTATATTTGCAGATGAATTATTGACTTGCCTTTGCATGTGTTTGGTAACTGAACCCTCAATCTGCGACCAGCGACCTGGGTTTGAGTTCCAAATTGGTCCTGAATGTGTGTCTGTGTTTGGAACAACCCACGAATGTTCGTGGATTTCATGACAGTTTGGAGCTGCATCACATCGGAATGTCATCGCACTACAAGGTGATACGAAGAAACGTAAATGAAACTCACTCCACACACTCACACACACAGTCACCGACTCACACACACTCACTCACTCGCCCATTCACTCACTCACTCGCCCATTCCCACTCACCCACTCACAAACTCACTCACTACAGAAATCCAACACAGTCCATTGAATCCCAATTAACCAATCTTACACAAGCAAGCAATATGTAATCAATCTGATAAATTTTGTTTAATTTTCCAAGAAAACGCAACAAAATTAACATAATTTTACGCACATTCTCTGTGAAAGCAATTTTAAGTAAATAATGCAAAGTCTATTTTCAAATGACATTTCCTAAAATGAAGACAGTAATTCAATGTATATGTGTTTATCTATTTTCACAGAAGTTGAGTATATCATCTATCTGATGTAAAATTAGATCTTCTATCGATTGTCAGTAAACGTAATTAATTTCTGTTGTTTCAGCCCCGAAACTGGACAATGTTCCGGAAGCTCCTTTGTCTGTTCTTACTTGTTTGATGACATTCATATTTGAAGAAAAAGCACTAACTGTCCTGTAAATACCCAAATCCTGAGTAATCGGACTGATTCCATGCTTTCTGGATTATTGAATATCTACCGCAGCTAAAGTACGCTTGATGTTGTACTGCGTGGCACTTTAACATCTGTCATCAAATCTGTGTACACAGTTAATGGCCAGTGAGAATACTTCAATAAAGAGGGCTCATCCAAACCCTTCTAACACAGATACCTCAGCCTCACAGTGATCTCTCCCTCAGCTCGGGAAGCAGGCCATTAACGATGTGGTTTATTGGCTTTATGACATTCCCCGCTCAGGTTCTAGGTCTGATTCCTGCAGCTTCATGCACTGCCTCTCTGTGTTATATCTGTTTTATTGTCCACTCTTCCTGCACAGCGTTCTGAAGGGATGGTGATTGTTAAAAACGTCGTTGAGATGGTCGCGGTGATGGTGGCGTGTGAGACTCATATGGTGGCATTGGTTCGTGTAGTTGGGTTGGATTGTGGTGGTGATGGTTAGGGTTGTGAGTGGTGGTTGTGGTATAAGGTGATACTGTAGCAGTGAGGATTATTGTTGTCAATGGTAGGGTGTGGTGTTTGGTTCTGGATTCAGCAGTGATTGATGTGGTTGTGAGTGGTGGTCGTGGTGATTGTGGTGATTGTGGGTTGTGGGTGAGTGGTGGTCGTGGTGATTGTGGGTGAGTGGTGGTCGTGGAGTGGTGTAAGTGGTGGTCGTGGTGATTGTTTGTGAGTGGTGGTCGTGATTGTGGTGAGTGGTGGTCGTGGTGGTGATTGTGGTCGTGGTGATTGTGGTTGTGGTGATAGAGGTGTGGTTGTGTCGTGGTGTGGTGGTCGTGGTGGTGGTGGTGGTGGTGAGTGGTGGTCGTGGTGAGTGGTGGTTGTGGTTGTGAGTGGTGGTGGTGATTGTGGTGGTGGTGGTCGTGGTGATTGTGGTTGTGAGTGGTGGTCGTGGTGATTGTGGTTGTGAGTGGTGGTCGTGGTGATTGTGGTTGTGAGTGGTGGTCGTGGTGATTGTGGTTGTGAGTGGTGGTCGTGGTGATTGTGGTTAGTGGTGGTCGTGGTGAGTGGTTGTCGTGGTGATTGTGGTTGTGGGTGGTGGTCGTGTTGTCTACTTGAAGAGAGCGGTGATGGGGGGTGAAGTTGTAGCGGTGATGGTGGGCGGTGTTTAAATGGAAGCGGTGATGGGAAGTGTTGTCTACTTGAAGAGAGCGGTGATGGGGGGTGAAGTTGTAGCGGTGATGGTGGGCGGTGTTTAAATGGAAGCGGTGATGGGAAGTGTTGTCTACTTGAAGGTGATGGGGATGAAGTTGTAGCTAGTGATGGTGGGCGGTGTTTAAATGGAAGCGGTGATGGGAAGTGTTGTCTACTTGAAGAGAGCAGTGATGGGGGATGAAGTTGTAGCGGTGATGGTGGGCGGTGTTTAGATGGAAGCGGTGATGGGAAGTGTTGTCTACTTGAAGAGAGCAGTGATGGGGATGAAGTTGTAGCGGTGATGGTGGGCGGTGTTTAAATGGAAGCGGTGATGGGAAGTGTTGTTCACTTGAAGAGAGCGGTGATGGGGATGAAGTTGTAGCGGTGATGGTGTGCGGTGTTTAGATGGAAGCGGTGATGGGAAGTGTTGTCTACTTGAAGAGCGGTGATGGGGGTGAAGTTGTAGCGGTGATGGTGGGCGGTGTTTAAATGGAAGCGGTGATGGGAAGTGTTGTCTACTTGAAGAGAGCGGTGATGGGGGTGAAGTTGTAGCGGTGATGGTGGGCGGTGTTTAAATGGAAGCGGTGATGGGAAGTGTTGTCTACTTGAAGAGCGGTGATGGGGAAGCGGTGATGGGAAGTTGTCTACTTAGCGGTGATGGTGATGGTGGGCGGTGTTTAAATGGAAGCGGTGATGGGAAGTGTTGTCTACTTGAAGAGCGGTGATGGGGATGAAGTTGTAGCGGTGATGGTGGGCGGTGTTTAAATGGAAGCGGTGATGGGAAGTGTTGTCTACTTGAAGAGAGCGGTGATGGGGGATGAAGTTGTAGCGGTGATGGTGGGCGGTGTTTAGATGGAAGCGGTGATGGGAAGTGTTGTCTACTTGAAGAGAGCGGTGATGGGGATGAAGTTGTAGCGGTGATGGTGGGCAGTGTTTAAATGGAAGCGGTGATGGGAAGTGTTGTCTACTTGAGAGAGCGGTGATGGGGATGAAGTTGTAGCGGTGATGGTGGGCGGTGTTTAGATGGAAGCGGTGATGGGAAGTGTTGTCTACTTGAAGAGAGCGGTGATGGGCATGAAGTTGTAGCGGATGATGGTGGGCGGTGTTTAGATGGAAGCGGTGATGGGAAGTGTTGTCTACTTGAAGAGAGCGGTGATGGGGGATGAAGTTGTAGCGGTGATGGTGGGCGGTGTTTAGATGGAAGCGGTGATGGGAAGTGTTGTCTACTTGAAGAGAGCGGTGATGGGGATGAAGTTGTAGCGGTGATGGTGGGCGGTGTTTAGATGGAAGCGGTGATGGGAAGTGTTGTCTACTTGAAGAGAGCGGTGACGGGGGATGAAGTTGTAGCGGTGATGGTGGGCGGTGTTTAGATGGAAGCGGTGATGGGAAGTGTTGTCTACTTGAAGAGAGCGGTGACGGGGGATGAAGTTGTAGCGATGAGGGTGTGCGGTGTTTAGATGGAAGCGGTGATGATGGTGGTGGCTGGGTGAAATAGTAACGGTGGTTCTCCTCGGGGTACACAAGGGACTGGGGTGTGGTTGTGGTCAATATTGTAGCTGTGACGGTGGTTGAGGGTGTTGTGGTCAATATGGTTGTTCCTGAGGTAGAGGTGGATATATTTGAGGTCATTTACCTTTGCAGACCCGTGAAGATCCGGGTTAGAATTGGTCTTCAGCAGCCCGTGCTTGTCGCAAGAGGCGACTAACGGGATCGGGTGATCAGGCTCGATGACTTGGTTGCCGTATGTCATCTTATTCCAGTTATGTAGATCAATGCTCATGATGCTGATCACTGGATTGTCTGGTCCAGACTGGATTATTTACAGACCGCCGCCATATAGCTGGAATATTGCTGAGTGCGGCGTTAAACAACAAAGTGTGTTTGTGTTGGTTGTAGCAGATGGAGATGATGATTGAAATGTGGAGATGCTCAAAGTTTAGCTGTAAACAGGACAAAGGAAACTTCGATAGAAAAGTTACATTATTTATGTTACCCTTTAGATTTCAAATGTCAACATATGTTTCATTAACGCAAACCCCTACACACATCGATATTTTCATTACCTGTCAGATACTTGTACATCTTGATAGGCTTAATGGTGCATTCAGGCAGTGGTTGATGTGGGAAAGAGGAGTTAGGGGCCACGGAACGGTGGAGGTATCGTACAATAGGTACATCGGGACATGGGCGATAGGTAATGGGTGAAATAGCAATCGGTCACGGAACATTATGTTGGGCGGCACGGTGAAGAGAGATTGTGGGATGACGCACTAATATAGTCGGGGGATTGGGGTTGAAAATTCTGACACTGACTTACAATATCATTAAGTACTGGTTTGCCGAAGGAGATCAGAACAAGGAAAATTGTATATCGATCATTGTTATTGGATTAGACTAGAAGCAATTTTACCATGCACTTATTAACGTGACAGACCTGGGGTGCAACTCTAAGGCAGTTCACATCTGGTTCAAGAGGGACTGAGACCAAAGAACCAAACATACATAAGTAGTACTTGTTACAGAAGAGAAGTTTTCTAATAGCAGTTGGCATTTAAGGACTACACTACCTATCAAAATTCCTTCCCCTGTATCGAGAAATAGTTTTGCGATACGATAAGTTGCGCGAAACTGATTCGAAATGTGTACGGTCTAGGTCGTAGGTTTAACATGTCGCTGGTTGTGTACAGTTATATCCCTTTCCGCTAAAGGATCCGCAACTTATGGGTTCGAATCTACAATTCTGTCTCAATGATCATGGTGTATAAGTATATATATACATACATGAACCTGTGATCTGAACCACAGTAACAAATGACACCTTGAGTCATTTTGATTTGAACTGGTATAATTTAACTAAATCCACTCACTCACTCAGCCACTCCATTTAGCATTCATAAAACAATACTCAACACGAACGTACTAACAGCTGAACATAGCAACATTTGAACCACAATTGAAATGAACCTTTTGCTAACCCAATTCAGCAGGAAGTGGAGCAAGGGTATTGATTAAGAACCTCGTTTACACTGTAATTATCACATTGACGACCATTAATTGACCCTGCGGAAGGACCTGTGTACATGTGAAGCTATTCACAAGTAGCGATCATTCAAACACACCATAACCCTTTGAAACCCTCTCACATACAGAGACACGCACGCACAAACGCACACACTCATATCGTGATGTAAGTTCAATACTATTGTTGGCCGCGTTGTAAATCCCGATTTCACTTTATTAAGTGTCTCGTCCGCCTTTCAGTGAGTGACTTACTGACTGTTTCACTAACTTACTGACAAAGTATATGACTTACTCACAAACGAGTAACCATGCTTGTCGCAAGAGGCGACAAACGGGATCGGGTGGTCAGACTTGGTTGACACATGTCATCGCATCCCAATTGCGTAGATCGATGCTCATGCTGTTAAGTTGATCACTGGACTGTGTGGTCCAGACTCGATTATTTACAGACCGCCTCCATATAACTGGAATATTGCTGAGTGTGGCGTTAAATTAAACTCACTCACTCACTCACTCACTCACTACTCACAAACGTACAATGTATTGACTCACTCACTGAGTCAATCTTAAAAAATGTCACACTGTATTTTTCATTAAGCCGATCTTAGCCTGTCTCCACAAAACAGGAGGGAGAATTTAACAATTGTTACTGTAAGTACTCTCACGTTGAACTAATTTACCAAATTTTAAACATTTGTTTGGGTTTTGATGACTACCCCTGACTCAAAATAGCAACATAATATCTTGTACCTTGTGTGATAAATATCTTATCATTAATGCAATGAAGACACCAGATGATGGAACATAGCTATTCAGATTGACGTCATTAACAATGATTTGTTTTGTTCTCCTGAGTGCTGTCATCCCATACTATTACACGTATAGTATTCCCAGAAATTAGTGAGAAAGTTGTTTCGGCAAATACCTAATACGTGAATAAAAGCTATATAAGCTCTACTTAAATGAATATGTTGAGATATGATTGTCTTCCAGTCTAAGTGTCTTTCAGTACGTTGTGAGACCTCCTTGCCCTGCAATACACGACTGAATGCGTCTAGGTACACTACCGATCAAAGTTTGTAGGAAATCGTGTGACAGGGTATCCCAATATTCGACCACTTCTTTCTTCATATTATCAAAATTTCGAAGTCCTTTTTGGTTTATTCTGTCCTTCATTGGAACTTGTTCCTTCCGTTGGAAGGATGTAACCATTTAAGATGTCAACATATCGTTCCTTCGTCAAATATCCAGTGAAAATACACAACGGCGTCACTCCACGTGATGATATCCCACCCCAGATGTGAAATTTCGGGCTATGTTTTGGGCGTTGGTAGCTTTTGTCAAATTTTTACACAGTTCGGAAAAAGCAGAACTTTCATCAGAAAAGAAAACATTATCCTAATCTTGATTTTCATGAGCCCTTCACCAGGTTCAACGTCTTTCTTTTTATGCATCTTTCATCAATGGTGAGGGAATTCCGCCCGCTTTTCACGCAGTTAAGTCTTGGGAGAGTTGCCTCCAATACTGAGTACCTTACTACATAATGTAACACCTTTTACAAAATTCTAATATCAGTATTAGGAAACAAAGGTTTTCTCAATAATTTCTTTGAAAACTGTACGACGCAAACTGACAAGGTCTAAATTGAACCATGTGCTTCTGCATCATTCGAAGCAAAGTTACTTCTTCCTTCAGTATAAATGCTCACGATGCATCAATGACCATACAATGAAAATATCACACTTTATTCTCGTTAAGGATTTCCACGAGGCGCTGTGGTTGTTACTTTATGTGATAGTCTAGTACATAGAAACACAGATACAAGTTCGAGTCCCTGTAAATTTCCTGAGACAATTCTCATTGTCTCACTAAATCTATACTACCCAAAGTTTGACAGGGATATGTTTTCATTATTTTCTTTATTCATAACCCACAACATGCTTGTCCCTGTAATATTCATGGCACAATTCTCATTGTCTCACTAAATCTATACTACCCAACGTTTGACAGGGATATTTCATTATTTTCTTTATTCATAACCCACAACAGGCTTGTCCCTGTAATATTCATGGCACAATTCTCATTGTCTCACTAAATCTATACTACCCAACGTTTGACAGGGATATTTCATTATTTTCTTTATTCATAACCCACAACAGGCTTGTCCCTGTAATATTCATGGCACAATTCTCATTGTCTCACTAAATCTATACTACCCAACGTTTGATTGGGCTTGTCCCTGGGATATTTCATTATTTTCTTTATTCATAACCCACAACAGGCTTGTCCCTGTAATATTCATGGCACAATTCTCATTGTCTCACTAAATCTATACTACCCAACGTTTGACAGGGATATTTCATTATTTTCTTTATTCATAACCCACAACAGGCTTGTCCCTGTAATATTCATGGCACAATTCTCATTGTCTCACTAAATCTATACTACCCAACGTTTGACAGGGATATTTCATTATTTTCTTTATTCATAACCCACAACAGGCTTGTCCCTGTAATATTCATGGCACAATTCTCATTGTCTCACTAAATCTATACTACCCAACGTTTGACAGGGATATTTCATTATTTTCTTTATTCATAACCCACAACAGGCTTGTCCCTGTAATATTCATGGCACAATTCTCATTGTCTCACTAAATCTATACTACCCAACGTTTGACAGGGATATTTCATTATTTTCTTTATTCATAACCCACAACAGGCTTGTCCCTGTAATATTCATGGCACAATTCTCATTGTCTCACTAAATCTATACTACCCAACGTTTGACAGGGATATTTCATTATTTTCTTTATTCATAACCCACAACAGGCTTGTCCCTGTAATATTCATGGCACAATTATCATTGTCTCACTAAATCTATACTACCCAAAGTTTGACAGGGATATGTTTTCATTATTTTCTTTATTCATAACCCACAACATGTTTGTCCCTGTAATATTCATGGCACAATTCTTATTGTCTCTCATTAAATCTATACTACCCAACTTTTGATAGGGATATGTTTTTATTATTTTCTTTATTCAATGTGCCATAACATGTAGCTATTGATTTTTTATTTACATCTAAGTTCCTTTATGAAGACTTAACTATGTTATTTTAGACAGTGGTCAAACTATTCGCCTGTAAATTGCGATTTCCGGTACCATCGTTTTGATCCATGCTGCAATACTTCCAGTAAATCTCATACAATCTCCTCAAACAGTACATTACATCGGACAGAATATATGGTTCTAGTTCACCTATCGCCACCTAGTGCCGACCACTCGGCATCGAAAATCAAACTGCATCTGATCGCTGAGATCGATACACGAAGCAATCAAAGATCGGTCTGCTATTGACACCGTGCGGAATGTAACGCCAGCTATTGTGTGCTACCTCGTGTAGTGTTCCTGTAATAATTTCCCCATCCGGCTGGCCGATCAAGTACAACTTCCTGGACATGTACCGTTGTACGTGCATTTCATAACACGTGGGACTCAAGGCATATTTGATAACGGTTAATCAGAGGTTCACTGTTACACATGAATAGTGTATATGTACGTACATTGATGTGGAGAATTTAATCACCGATTAATGGGAAGGGAT